GAGAATAATGCAGATACTCAGCAACTGTAATGCACATGGAGGTCAAAAGGGGCACATAAAGGTTTGATCCGACACATAAAAATACAAAGGAACTAGGCCACTAATCTAAAAGTTTCACTAGTGAGCGGCACCACATCAAAACTAGGAAGAGACTCCATTAAGGAAAGAAAAGGTCACAGTGTTTATTATTGATATTTAAGTTACTTACACAATTAAGTAGAATGTACTGTAAATTTTACAAAGAGTGGAATTTACTTAATCTGCTCTGGAATACATAAATACTCCCAGATGACTGATAGCTGCTAATACTGGCAATTTTTAAGGTGGGTACCAAAAGCTGAATGAGCACACGCATGATTCAACAAAATAAAAATAAGACAAATAATAAAGGTGTGCCTCAAAGATGATGAAAGATACTTACAGGAAATCAAGACACATTTTTAATTTGACACATTTTGATCAGTAGTGAAGGGGATTCCAACTTGGCCAAAGATGCATTGAGAATTAAAAGTGCCACCTTAACTATGTATGTCTACTATTCAGAAGTAAATCTATTGAGTCTTAAGGAACTAAATCACAGGATAAATCGATACAGAACTGAAGATCGAAACAATTAAAATTCCTTCTGTTTAAAAGCAATTATCTAAAAGAATATCAACTTTATTTCAGTGACAAGCTCCACTTCTATATTTACCTGGTACCTGTAAATTGCAGGCCTAAGCATTCAACTCACTATTTACTGAAACAACCGGCTGCCTTTGGACTTGACAATAAACTATAGCCTAACCAGACACACACAAGGGGTGGGGAGAGAGATTCTTTGTGGCCATGAGCACAAAAGATATTGGTTCTGGTTTAAAACATAGCTTAGTGTTACATCTCAACTGAGGTGCTCAATCGCCAGATCCTCCAGATGTTTTAGATCCTGCTTCCATTAAGCTTCAAGCATGGAAGTTGTAGTGTAGACATCTAGAAGGGGTCAAGTCGCCTACCTCTGCCTGCAATTTTAAACTGTGACAAATCTTTATGTCCGATGAAACAAGTGGCTTGTTTGAATCAAATGACAGTGAAAAGTAGCCACCTTTTCAGTTTGAATTAGACAACAATCTGTTATTTAAAAATCTGCTTATACATTGCTGCAGCAGAGGAAGGGAGCGGTAGGTTTGTCCCTGTTGCAATAAACCACGGTGTGACATCCGAATACATATACTCTGGGAGAAAATTAGCATGGATTTTCACTCTTTCAAATTTTATAGCAATATATTTCAGGCAAGAACCTAAACGACAGGTTACCCACCTGTAATTGTAGTTCTTTGAGTGGACCTCTGTGATCCACGCCTGCGCGGAGCCTCATTGGAAAGTTCTAGAGCTTCTGCGGTAGCAAAAAACACATTAGAATAAGGCCCCTCCCCCCTCGCCAAGGCTCTCTTTTCAGTTGTGTCAACCGCCGCTACATTAAGCAAAATGGCGTGACAATGGGGAGGACGGGCAGGATGTGTGAATCACAGAGGTCCACTCGAAGAACTTACTGGAAGGACAGATCCTGAAGCAGAGGCTCTAATACTTTGGCCATCTCATGAGAAGAGAAGACACCCTGGAAAAGGCCCTGATGTTGGGAAATTGTGAGAGAAAGAGAAGAAGGGGATTACAGGGGAGAAGATGAGAGGGCCGTGTCATCAAAGCTACCAACATGACTTTGACCAAACTCTGGGAGGCAGTGGAAGACGGGAGGGCCTGGCGTGCTCTGGTCCATGGGGTCACGAAGAGTCGGACACGACTTAATGACTAAACAACAACAACAACCTGTCGTTCTTCTTCATGGCACCTGTGAATCACAACCTGGGTGACTAAAAAGCTGTCTTATCCGGAGGAAGGGTGTCACTCCATGGTAGAGGATAGAACAGCATGTCCAAAGACCGCATCAGAATTCTGCCAGACATCAAGTCTATAATGTCAGATGAAAGTTGATGGCTGTGCCCAGGTGGCAGAGGCACAGAAGTCTGGAAGAGGTACACCATGTAGGAATGCCACAGAGGTCGCCACTGCCCTGGTGGAGTGAGTGTGAATCACCTCCGGGACTGGTTTGCGTGCCAGCTGATATGCAAGAATCACCTCCGGGACTGCTTTGCGTGCCAGCTGATCTGCAAAGTGAATGGTTGAAGCGACCCATCTAGATAGTTTGAGATGTCACCTGGTGACCTCTAGTAGGTGGTTAGTGACTTATGAATAATCAATGTGAACGCCTAAAAGGTTGGGTGCGTTGGACGCAAAAGACAAGGGCTCGCATAACATTTCACGTATGGAGGATTCCTTCTTGAGGAAAGAAATATCCATGGATAGTTTGACTTTGTCTGGAAAAAAACTGTAAATAAGAATAGTCATGATGTAAGGCCGCTAACTCACTAGCTTGTCGAGCTGAGGTGATGGCGACGAGGAAAACTGTTTTAAAGGTAAGTAGCCGTAAATCAATTGAAGCTAAAGGTTCAAAAGGAGCTTTAGTAAGTTGTTGCAGTACTAGTGTTAGTGACCACTGAGGGGAAGGCGGGCGGATATCTGGGTAGATATGAGATAGACCTTTAAGAAAATGTCTTAATGTTGGATGCTTGAAGAAATCAGCTGCTGGAGAGTTAGGGGGCTGATAAGAAACTATGGCGGAGAGGTAGACTCTCAAGGAAGAGAAGGAAATGGCGCTAGACTTGAAGCAAACAAATGTAGAACAGTAGCAAGTGATGAGTATCCACTAGACTTGAAGCAAAAAATGTAGAACAGTAGCAAGTGATGAGTATTACATGCACTTTTCTGAGGAAAAACTGAAGAGACAAATGTGTGATACATTGTAAATACTGTACCTACTTTTCTGGGGAAACTACAAGGAAGCAGGAGACCCACAAGACCACTGTGAAAGAGAAAACAAGTCTAAAGTCCCCTTGGGCTCATACAAGGGATTCTACTTTTTTTTTTTTATCCTGCCTTTCTTTCTCAGTTACAAAAGAGAATTCAGAAACTGTTTCCAAGTAAGACAGTTAGAATCAAGAGATCTATTTTCTTAATTTAGTCCTATCAAGACGTCACTCTGTAGCACTGCACTCTTGTTATCTGAGCAGGAGATATGTAGTTCTTTCAATAATGTTGGGGCTATTAATGAACTTTGGATTTTGCCAGAACGAAACAAGGAAGTCAGAGGAACCCAAGCTGCTGTTTTCTGACAAATGAAACCAGGTGAGGTAGCCCCACGTGCCTCTTAGATATAAAGCTATCAATTCCCACTGAAATCTAGAACTGAAAATGCACCAGAGGGGTTGGAGGGAAAACAAAATGTCTTTGTTCCCAAATTAAAACCAACTAGGAAAAGCCCATAAAATCCCAATATAAATTATCCAGCATGACAATCATGTATGGACAACAGTTGCACTACCATTTTCAATTCAGTTAAAGATATAAACTTGTCTAAACACAACTGGCTGGAGTACACCCTTGTAGGAGATCTTTGAAAGATATTTCAATCAGATTCTAGCCAGGTCTGTGGATTGTTGTTATATCCTGGCTGAGTAAAAGGAATTCTACAGTATGTCTTTAACTTATTTATATGGTCTGGATGATCAGGCCACCTTCTGAGGATTTCCCATGGGCAAGATTTAAATTCAGTTAAACAAGTTTATCTGAAAGAGGAGGTGCCACAAGCACTAAGAAAGGACAGAACCCTTACAGGGTTCAGCATGCGCGCGGGCCTCAACCCTGATGAAGTATTCAAAAGCTCTAAAGCAGTGGTTCCCAACTTTGGGTAACTCAGGTGTTCTTGGACTGCAACTCCCAGAAACCGTTGCCAGCAAATTCTGTTCCAAGAGTACTTGGGTTACCCAAACTTGAGAAACTCTGCTCTAGATGAAAACCAGAAACATCCTGGTTCATTGCTTTTATTCAACCACCACCCTAGCTCCACTTCCTAGGACTAAATCGTTTTCAACTCAAGCCTCCTAATATCAAGACAGGGATTATTACAGTCTAAGCTCACCTTTTCCAACAAAAAGTAGCCTTCTTTTGGGGGTTCCCCCCCATTTTTACTCACATATTCCCCCAGCCCTTTAGGCAAATCAAAAACTTCTACTCCCAGTGTATATGCTGGATAAGACCTTTAAACCAACGGATAAAGATCAAAGAAAAAAATCACAACAGTATTATTTAAGTTTGAAGCAAACACTGGCAATTGGAAGGACTGAAACAGTACTTGCCCTAAATCACTAAAGCATCACGTTAATTGATTAACACCACTCAATAGTAAGACATATGCACCTTCTATATATACACAGACCGATAGGCACCTCTTATGTTTTTGCTCTAGCGTGATCTTTGCCTCTGTTGACTACCAGCAGCAGCTTTATCTGACATTTTATGTCAGGAGGTTTTCTTAAGAGAAAAATGAGTGAGTCTAGGTCTTCCATACACTCATCACAACCTATCACAGAAGGCTGGTGCATAAAGGATTGTGTTGGCCTTAGGATCTCTGTTCTCTTTCAGTAGCTGAAATCTAGCTGCAAAATGCTAGCCTTGAAGCACTTCTGCTGGTGTATCACACAATCGGTAAAGCAGGAACTGCACAACTGATTGTGCAACTGGCTTGTGCAGTACTTGTTCCTGGAGGAGAACACTAAGTACATTCACAGTGGTCTAACTTTACATTACACCTTGACACACTGGATTCTGGCCAGCGTGAACAGACAACTATTGAAATCACACACATCCTGCAAGTCAATAATACAAGACCTGAAAAAGGAGGATGATCAAAGAATTCTGTCTTATTTATATATATATATATATACACAAGCACCCCGTAGATAATAAATAACAATAACAACACAGTTCAGTGCTTTTTTATATATTTGTTCCCAGGCTGCAAGGTTTGTTCTCACAAAGTTGAAAACAACCTGAGTCGGAAAGAGATATGAAACATTTTTGCTGAAAACCAAGAACATAAACTTGCTTTCTACAGTATATGCTCTTACCAGTACGTAACATCCAAAGGCGTGAAATACTTTCTCATAATTAAGTCAGCGAAGTAAGCTTCTGTTTCCCTGCAAGCCGTTCCATTCCCGATCACCACGGTGCTACAACTTTTAGTGGAAAGAAAAAGAGTATTAAAGCTCAGGAGTCTAAAGTGGCGACATCGGGTATCATTTGCTTTCCCTACCAAACAAGCATTGAGGGGTCAGAGGAAGAACAGTGCTCCTGCCTCAATAAAATAGACCTAACAGAACAGATGTGGTCTATTTCCTGGGTCCATGACTGGCACTGATTCATCCGAATCCACCTTGTTGCTGCATCACAGCATCTGCTGTTACATAAACAGATCTAGTTTCCTTTACAAAAAAAAATGCGGAGGGAGTATATAAAATGTTTGTTTTGAAACAAGGGGTGGGAAAGGTGCAAGGTAGATAAAAAATCTATGATTTTTTTTTCAAAATCAAACTGAATTAAATCACAATTTAAATTGAAAAATAGATTTTTCAAAATTTAAATCATAAGAAAAATCAGATTTTTCAAATTTAAATCATGATTTAAATCAAATCCACTCTGAGACATGGCACAAAATTATATAGCATGTTACAGTAACAGCGTAATCAGCACATAGACTCTGCTGTATTAGTTGGTTAGCAAAGAACTGCACAAAATCTGGCCATTGCATCAGAAATCCAGAAATCATGGGCAGAAAGATCTAAAACAGGATAAAAATTAATTCAGTCTTCAAGGAGTTTTGTTTGAAGAACCTGTGTAATAAAAACACAGTAAATGCTGCAATAAAAGGATCAAGATAATAAATAAAACACTCTTGATGGCTTCTACTTCCCCTACTTCAGAAGGGCAGATCTCCTCCTTGCGGCGAAGTAATGACATCTTCTCTCCAAAAGTACAGAAGTTTGGACATTAAATTGGGAAAAGGAAATGCTTTTCTGATCTTAGGAATTAATAAATTAGCCAAATATTTTGCTGGTGCAAACATCTTTGTCCTAGGGTAATGGCATTTTGTAACCACAATTAGGTACGTCATAATTCTTTTAACCCAATTTCTTTATTTGATAATGATTTTGGCATTCTGGTATCCAGGGTCTATTAAACGCCTAGGTGTTAGCCCATACGTCCACAATTCTCGATCATTTGTCTCTTCCATAGTAAGTGAAACGCATCTGACATTGCAAATGGCACAAAGCTGACAGGAAAAGGCATCCTTTAATTTAAAAAAAGAGATTATTCTATATATACAAGCTTAGGTCTCCACAGAAATTAAGCCCACCTCAACATGAAGTGCCACATTAGAGGCAAAGGACAGAAAAGAAAGCAAAAACTTCTTTATCATACTTGTAATTCAGCAGAAGTTTCCGAATCTTTGGAGCTTCATTGAATCCTTTACCAGAATGTAAGTAAACGATGTCTGTATGGAGTATCTGATCTAAGGTAAAAAGAAAGGAGAATCACTCTTGTTTAGAAGAAGAAACTTTGCCACCTATTCCATACATAACATTAAACTGTGGTTTAACAATCTGGGAACAAATCTCAGCAAAACATGGCCTTGGTGCTCCTCTCTACCATCTGCTGTTGCAGTGCACCCGCACCGAGACTAGGAACTTCCATTTCCTCTTCTAAACACACTACAGTTTTCCACAGCACCAAAAGGGGGAGAGATGAGAAACCTGTGGTTACTTGAAGCTATGCTTTGTTGAAACCAGAAGAAACAAGTTACAAAATGAATTACCTGTAACTACTGTATTTTTCCATTTTAATACGCCCCGGTTTATAAGACACCCCCCCCACTGTTCTAACCCAAAAATTAAGAAAACTTAGCTATAATACACCCCAGTTTATAAGACACCCACACACACACTGTTCTAACCCAAAACTTAAGAAAACTTAGCTTTGAGGATTCAGCCTCTGGGCTTAGAATGCTCAGACATTACAAGTCCCTGTTGCATCTGAGTCTACAGGCTCCACCTCCAACAAGGTGTGTCCCAATTGGTTTGTTCAGCATCAGCTGACATACGTTCCATAAAGCTCGTGACAGGAGGAAGCTAAGTCTCCTGACTGAAGGAAGCTAAGCCTTGTGACTGAAGGAAGTCTGTTTGCAGAGGCAAGGTACGGGCCATTTTGTTTTCTCCTCAACTGTCTCAGCTTACTTCCATGTATAAGATGCACCTCAGTTTTTAGTGTAATGATTTTAGGAAAAAGTAGTGTCTTATACACGGAAAAATATGGTAATTCTTTTTTACAATAACTATGGCATATCTAAATCATGTTTAATTTCAGGTTGTACGCAAGTCACGTGCAATTAAACAAAATCCAAACAGGAACTTTTTAACTAGTGGCAAGTGGCTGCTGCCTGTGACCTCACTCTAATTGCACCAGCAGAGGTATGGAACAGGATACTGGCCCAATAGTTTGAATGTCATCACTTTTGAGTAACAAGATAGGAGGATGTTGAATTTTTTTCTCAAAACTGTCACCATGACAGTGATACCAAAAATATGAACCTCACTAATGACTTAAAAAACTCACACATTCTGAGCTCTGGTTAAAACATGCCAGAAACAAACTACAGTTAACCACAGATTAATCAAACCAATATTCCCCAGTGCAAAAACATATCCCAATCCAATGTCACATGCAGCTTTAATGGATTTTCTCCTCTACTCCACTGCAGCCCTCCAGAACCCCCCCAAAACTGCCCCACATGTTATCCAACCTCTCTGGAGCAGGTTTTGAAGAGGGTTCAGGGAGGCGGGAGGAACACCCCTCCTCATTCTATTGAGGGAAATGATCCTATTAAGACAACTACTCAATATTTTAAAACAAGCTTCCTACCTCTCCTTTGCAGCCATTATTTTAACAGAGACGTTTATCGATTTTGTTCATATCAACAAAATAAACTGATTAATTCTTGATCTTCAGTTATCTTCCTCTGGTCTTAAATTCAAGTACTTCCTTAAAGCTTACCTGGTCACTCTGACCTATCCTGATTGACCCATCTTTCCTTTTGTTTACTTGTTAATGTGACTTGTGTTTACTTTTACATTGGAAGCTATGTTAAGAACCAAAATCTTTTCACCAGCAGAAGGGAAATGGTGTAACTTGGTGCAGCAAACTGCTGCTACTTAATGAGTCCTGGCTTGGATTCCTGACATATGCTAAGTCATCCAACTGGTGTGCAACTTGGAATCTAAGTGGGAACTTGTTAGTTCATAGCAATTTACCACCACGAGTTATGCAGTTTCCCTTCCACCAGTATAACTATGGAGCAAGGTTTTGAACACTAAATATCTAAGGTCTAGCAATTTTATGTCCTTGATTGATGATGATGATGATGATAATTCAGAGATAAGTGTAAAACACTATACCGTAAAATGTAAAAACCTCATAGCCACCTAATCTGAAACCCAACTTACTCTGAAAGGAACTACTATGCATCAAGAGTAGCTCTTACCAGAAACATTTATGACCTACCAGCCCAACTAGATCCACTCAAAGCTTAAAAGTAGACTTACTGGTTGGTGAAATGATAGCCAGTTTGCAGCCATGTTTATAGCCAGGATCAACTCCCATCAAGGTTCGTCCTCTCACAGGGCTTGTAAGAAGCAACTGACGGAGGTTTCTTCCAAACATCATTACAGATTCTTTCTCTGCATCTGAAGTCAATTTCGATCTAAGACAGTATAACAAGAAAAGGTTGCTTGCCACGCACATGAAAAAGAATGTTTCCATTCTCGTGCCAGGAGATTTGTCAGGACGTGATACTTTCTCTATTTAAGAATGTTAGAACAATTATAGGGGTTATAGAAATCAGACTAAAATTGCCCTAGAAGTAAAGTACTTTGGTTGTGGCATGAAGATATTGTTTACTACAATTTTTCTAAATATAATTGGCTACAGCACCAGCAAGGTCATTGAAAGAAAGCAATTTTTGGCAATCTATTCTGTTTTGCTTTCTAAGTCATACACAAGAGATATGGAAACAATAAATAGTGACATCTGATGGGTAATTAGTATAAATAGATTTTGTTTTGCTTAGAAGCAACTTGGTGACATATAGATAGTTTATTACTTTTCTTTATTGGCAGTCATGGGTACTATCAGGCAATTAACATAAACAAAAATCCTGCCTAATGGAAACGACATTGCTTAGAGGCAGGGATGGGGTATATAGCTGCTGCTTCTTGGCAAATTAGGTAACCAAAACTTAAAATATATATACACTTTGTTTTTCACACCGCAATCAAAAAAGCAGTGAGAGACACAATAACAGAAAGTCATTAGAACAGCAGAAAGATAACCAGAATGTCAATCATGGATTTTGCTTAAGACTTTTAAATGCAACTCAGCTAAAATGGATGAGAGTATTATGTATTGATTTTATGTGTGTCTCAATATGCTTAGAGATAAATAATGCTTTTTGTTTTATATATTCTTATTTTAAGAACTTTGATTTTTTTCCCCCTATGCTTTTTCAAGACAGCTTTTAAAAGCATGGGCTAGTAAAATCATGATGCTATTTACTTTTAAATGATTTACTTTAGAGATGTGTTCTTCGGCTTTATAGGCTATTGTAAAATGTATGTTCAATTATTGTACAATAATGTTCAATAATGAACATAATTACAACATGACTTATGTATGTGCTTATACCTGAAGTTCAATGTTCTTATATTTTATATGATGGGCCTACAGTTCTCTACAACTGGAAGGATAATGTTTGCAAAATGAAATGAAACACCTGTGAGGTATCAAAGGTTACATGTTACTACTGGATTTCATGCTATGCGTATAGTACTGTACTTAGAAACAATGTAGATAAATAAAGCTTGAAAAACACAAGCTTTGGAAGTTGCCTTACATTATTGTAACAAAGAAAATACACATACCTAAGATACCCAGAAGAATTTTGAAATGTTTGTCAATGAATGTCTGATTTTATTCTGGCATTAACTCTTTACTGGGGTAATGTCAGCTATGACAAACCTCAAAAACGTTTCTGATATAACCATATCTGCTTTGCTTATATGCTCTGTAGACCTCCCTTTATGTTGATTAGTTAGAAAGAACGTACAAAGTGCCTCCAAGTGACGTCTGACAAGACAGTGTGGCCCGCTTTAATGAGACTACATTTCCTTGGAACCTATGCTATGGAAATGTTATTGTCAGTGGAACAAGAAAGGGGATGTTCCAACCCGTATTCTTAAAAGTTTTTTGTGAGACCCTTCTGAACCAGACTTTTGCGGTGCATAGAGGGCTATTGTACTAAAAGATGTCCAGTAATAATATATCAGATGTAACTCTTTGGTTTTTCTTCCTTCCTATGTACTTTTCATAAGCATGTATTTACAAAACACTTCAAAAAACTGACATTCCACTGGCCATATGACTCAGTTCTTTACTGCTTGAACAGAGTGCATATCATTGCCAAGGCATCTTTGCTCATGAGATTGTATCTTTGTGCTTACATGGACTGATAGGCACTGGCTATTTCCAGTGGCTAGTACTAACCAGAGAAAACCCCTTCAATTAATGAGCCATACTACAAAAGATCTGTTAATTATCTGATCTGCTCTAGTTGAGATTCACAATTGGCTGAAATCCTGTTAGTTATGCTTTCCAATATAACTCAGTCAGCCCAGATCTCAGCAGCTACTTATTGCAAGTTTAATGATGTAAGCCGTCTCCTTTTTTTTAAGAAAAAATATTTATTTAAAATATTTTAAATAAATAAAGCTACAGCAATTTCCCACTGGGGTGTAATAATAATACTGTAATAATCTTAGAAGTGCAGAGCTGGAAAGGGCCATATGGATCATCAAGTCCACCCTTGTTAGGGAGGCAGAGTGAGCAACTAAACTCCAAGCATCTAGCTCCACAGGCAGTTATATTGAGTTGTGCTGGTGTACTGTATACTAGTATTCTGGCCATAATTTCTGAACCCCCACTTCTGCAAAATGGTTATAAAATCCAACAACTTGACCCTTAAATGCATTATTGGAACAACCTGTTTGCAATTAAATCTACATTGTATTCCTGTGGTGCCAAAATGGCACTTTGGCTCTTAACAGAAGTAATTATATTTTCTCTGCTAAAAGAGATGACTTCATACTCATTGTCATGAATGTACCTACGAGCATAACACAGTTGAGTCCAATATTATGATTATTCAACTGTTAATTTATGAAGGTAGAAATGATAGACACGAGGGCACTGATAGCTACAACAATTAGCTTCCTTGATGTTCTAGAGAGAAGTAAGAGAAATGGCATTAGAACAACATGATGGGGAGTTTACTGAAAGCATGATTTTGAAATGGATACAATAAAACAATTTCAGCAGCACAGCAGTTTGCATCAAAAGCATTGTAACAATATGATCAATTTCTCAATACAGAAGGGAAGTGAAAAAAAAGCACCCAGGTCCACTGTGGCTGAATGCCACATCACTCCTATCCATTATGGCACTGTCATTAGAAATGTTAGGCAAATTGCAATGTGTATGTTACAAACTGTCAACTCCCCCCCATTTAAAATGCATTTTCATTCATTAAAGTCTTTTCCACCACACTAAATGCCAGAGGAAAATGCCCTTAACTTGCCAAATTTTGCATTATTCTTAAAACTAAAAAAGCAAATTATGAAATCATCCCTAATAAGAAAGGTGTCAGAAAAACATTTGCTACTCCAATCCTATGTGCATTTACATGGAAGTAACGCAATTTATTTTAGTTAAACTTCCTAGCAAGTGTCCCTAGAACTACAATAGTAATCAGCGTTTTCACATCTCACTGATGCTCTTTGTAATACACATATTGCATTAAAAATCAGAAATAATTACTACCTCTTTCGGAATAGTTTAGATTTTTAAAGGTAATCCAAGGCAGTTTACATTATTAATCTAATATCTCAACTATTCCAAAAGAGGCAGTGGCTGGAATCCTATTACTTTTATCCACCAGCGTAGAATCATAAAATAATTGATTTGGAAGGGGCCTATAAAGCCATCACCAGGGACGTGGTGGCGCTGCAGGTTAAACTGCAGAAGCCTTTGTGCTGCAAGGTCAGAAGACCAGCAGTCCTAAGATCGAATCCACGTGACGGAGTGAATTCCCGCCGCTTGTCCCAGCTCCTGCCAACTTGGCAGTGCGAAAGCATGGAAAAATGCAAGTAGACAAATAGGAACCACTACAGTGGGAAGGTAACAGCGTTCCGTGTCTAGTCGTGTTGGCCACGTGACCACGGAAACTGTCTTTGGACAAACACTGGCTCTATGGGTTAGAAATGGGGATGAGCACTACTCCCTAGAATCGGACATGACTGGACTAAGTGTCAAGCGGAACCTTTACCTTACCTATAAAGCCATCAAGTCCAAAGCCCTGCTCAGTGTAGGAATCCAAGGAATAAGTCAACCAGCCTAATAGGAATAAGTCAAACAGTGTAAATCACAGTGGCCAATTGCCAAGGCTTGTATTCCTTGTGATAGACCAAGTCATACAACAAGTGCACAGGGAGGAATACAAGTCTCGACTCCTTAACTAGATGCAATTCACTGCTGTGATTTATGCAATTTGACTTACAGCAGCCCACACGGATTCTAACCAATATATTAAATAAATTATCTCAAGAAAAATGTTTCCATTGAAGTTAAACATTTCAGAGAAGATTTATCTGTAAAAGACATAAGGCTGAATTAGATGCAATGTTAACCCATAATTTGATGTTATAAGAATAAGTCCAGCATCTCTTAAGCTTCCACATTCCTATTTTTGCACTGGCACCAGGAAGAGCTTATAACTTTCTATTTCCATTTTTGCTTGGAATTTCATCTGTACTCAGACAACCATGGTTAATTCCCATAATGTTTTGAGGGAACATGGCAACTTCAAAATAGCCTGTAAGCCTGCTGGTTTGGAAGGTCCAATTTAAGATAAGTTGGATACAGACAACACACTGAACTGCTGTTAAACCTAAAGAGGAAGATTCTGGCCTCCTCACAGGCTTTGGGATAAACATAAATTAAACAAAGTGCTTCTATAGGCATCCCAGTAAATTTGGTCTAATTACAAAAACTGAGGTGTATCTACAATGAGCCAACCTCAAGAGCAGTCCATCTTGATGAATGCTCACATTTCTGCTCCCTCATAAACTGATTTAGCACAGCGGTCCCCAACCTTATTCGGTCCGCGGACTGGCTGGGGAAGCTGGGGCACCCCCCCTGCACTCGTGCGCATGTGCGAACAAGGACGCACTCTCTCGCGGATGAGCGCCGTGCCGCCGTTTGTGCATGTGCATGAGGGTGCATGTGCACATGCACAACCAGCAGTGCAGCACTCACACGGGGCACACACGCTCGTGTGCATGCACAACTGGTGGCGTGGTGCTCACACAGGTGTGCTGGAGCACGCATGCGCACAGGCGCAAACGGGCCATGTGGGGGTGAGTGCATGCAGGGGGTGGGGCGGGAGGTCTGTCTCGACGGCCTGGTCTGGGGGTTGGAGACCTCTGATTTAGTGGATAAGGATCCAATGGCTATACAAAGCTTTGAAGAAAACAGTGATGCTTCTCACTGTTTATTTGGTAAAGGGGATGGTACTTCCATACAAGGAATTCTGGGGGCATATTAGATGGACCTTATTCAAGTACAAGGTTCTCTAGATGTTTAGGGTGTCAACTCCCAGAATCCCTGATCATCAGCCCTTCTAAAAAGTGAAGTCCAAAACATCTGGTGGATTAAGGCTGGATCAGGCTGTACATTACCAAGAGGCCAATCTATCAAGCAGAAATAGTTTTAAAAGGAAATTAGACAACCCATTGAGGACACAGCCATTAAAGGCCATTAGCCATAATGACTAAACAAAACCTCCCATGTCCAAAAACAGCATGAATACCATTTGTCTGAAGGAAACAGCTGGAAAGAGCTGTTGTTCTTATGTATTATATGGCTTTCCCTGGGCATGTGGGAAAAAGACTAGACAAGCTTTTAGTCTGCACCATTATAGAGCATCTTAAGTTCTTATTTATCCTTGGTTAGTGAAAATGCATGGCTTTACCTGAATTCTCTGCAGAGAAGTGGATAAATGAGCCGCTTATATGAGTCTTCTACTGAGTAACGAAGTACCTCCATTAGCTCAGGGTTTGCATAGCCCTTTGGTCTCCACCTGCAAAACAAATATTTTTATGATTCAAGAGTATTTGGCAATATTTTAAATCACAACCTGCCAAGACCCAAAATCATAGCTGTATCTTTTTTTTTTTCTTTCTTTTCTAAAGGGTACAAAAAGAGGGGATAGGAAAGGAAAAATGGTGATGGACTGATACCCAGTAGCTTTATCCAGTGTTCTTTCTGAAACATTCTGGATCAGTGAGGCTGAGTGAGGAGGAGTGCAGTTCCATACAGCCAGTCTCTGCACTCACTGCTTTCCAGATCTTCAGCAGGAACATTTATAGCAGGAAGCTTCTTCTATCTGGGGAAGAACCCTGAAAAACCAGGGTTCTACCTCAGGCAGGGAACCCTCTATGGATACAAGAGGGTATCCATAGAGGTTAAAGGGGATACAAAAAAGGCTCCTCACTATAGAAAATATAAGTTAATGCACAATATAAAGAAACTGTGCTCAGGAAAGTTACTGTATTTTTCCGTGTATATGACTATACTTTTGCCTAAAATCTTTAGACTAAAAATTGAGGGTTGTCTTATACACGGAAGTAAGCTGAAGAGAGAACAAAAACAAGTGGAGGGGGAAGCAGGTATCAAAGCGATCCTGCAACGCTTTGATCCCTTTCCCCCTGCACTTGCTAAGCCCCACTTAGATTTCTTAATTTTGGATTAGAAAAGTGGGGGTGTCTTATACATGGAAAAATACGGTACTTGTTTTGGACCTCAGTGGCCATGCAGGCTGGGAAACTGTGGGAGTTACAGACCAAAAAAGTTATCTTTTCCATGGTCTGTATGGAGGACAAGGATGGGAATGGAGGAGTAAGATATAACAGTCCATTTTCCCTCACATGTTTTTTCAGCAGTTTAAAAGACTGTGACAAATCTCTTCTATATAAGCCTTTCAGCTCCTTGAAAAGAGGGCATACATACAAGGTGCTTAATAATGTTCAAGAGAGTCAAACACATGATGAAGGCTTAAGCTACTGTTTTTAAGCAAATTCACAGATAAATATCTGAAGCAAGAAGACCCACTGAAGACCAGAAAAACAATCTTGGGTGCTTCCCCCCTCCCAGCTAATACAGAAAGTTAGTAAAACAGGAGAATGTGGGAGACACATTCTACAGTTTAGGGACCACTCAATCCTTCTGGGTGGCATCCAACATCCGCTGATGATCAAGCAGATAACTTTAAAAGCTATTAATCTCAACTGACAAGTCAATACCTTATGATGTAACCCCTGACTCGGGGAGTCAGCTCACTCCCTTGCCAAGATACATATGCAGTTCTAGCAAATCAGAAAAGCTGACTTTTTTCTTGTAAATGATCAAAGAGGATTAAGAGCAATTAAGTGAGTGATGTAACCCCTGACTGGGGAGTCAGCTCACTCCCTTGCCGAGATACATATGCAGTTCTAGCAGATCAGAAAAGCTGACTTTTTTCTTGTAAAGGATCAAAGAGGATTAAGAGCAATTAAGTGATGGCAGGCCACAGATGCGAAATGCCCCCTTTTGTTTGTATAAAAGGAATTGGAAAACTGAGTTTTTGAGTCTAGCATACCTCTGCGGAGACCATACTTTGCATGCTGAGTGCAGTCTGACTTACAAGGTGACCTCTGCATGCCATTTTACAAAGCTATGCTGGAGAATGCTTATGGAGTATGCCCCAGAACTACCCTATCTCTCTGCTTAGGTATGAGTTAGAAAAGATCTAGTGACCCACATGTAGTTGCCTAACATACACCTGGAGAAAACTGATTACATCACTGGCAGGAGAGATTTTGAGTAATTAAAGATTCCCGTGTTTCATCTTGCAGCTTGTCCAGGTAATCCATTTCACTGTATAAGAGCCACAGGAGGAGGAAATCTTTAATTATGCAATTTTTGCCACCAAATGATATTTCTGACCAGAGCAAAATTTGGCGGAATTAAAGACTTCTGCCTTCTATCCTGAGGTTCCCAGGGCTTCCATGCAGTGAAACAAATGACTCATAAAGTCAGTAAGTCAGAGAACAAAAGGAAGCTGTTATTACGAGATTGACTGATATTTCCCTGTCTGTGACAATACAGTGGTGCCTCGCATAACGAGCGCACCATTTAATGACGAATTCGCACAGCGATCCGTTTTTTGGGATCGCTAATGCGATCGCATACCGATGCTTTCTATGGCCGAAAATCACTTTGCGATGATCGGTAAGCGTTTCGCTTACCAATTTTTGCATAGCAATTTTTTTTAACAGCTGATCGGCGGTTCCAAAATGGCCGCTGGATGCCCAAAATGGCTGCGCGCAGCGCACAGCGTTTTCTCGCCCTGCCCTCACTTACCAAGGGCGCAAAAATGGCGGCCAGATGGGGAAACATTGCAAAACAGTGAATTTTGGGCCCCATTGGAACGCATTAGCGATGTTTCCCCATAGCGACGGTTAATCCAGAACGGATTAACCGTCGCTATGCGGGGCACCACTGTATAGGCATAATGTACACAACCGGATTGGCTAATGCTTTCCAAATTTACATCTTAATCCTAAGAAGTCAGAAGTATGTTAATCCATACCTTATTCTGAAATAAATATAGCTAAAATTGCAGCTTGAGATCAGAAAACAGAACAGTTTAAGAAGAAGAGTTTAAGAGGTCTTGTAGGAAAGTCCTTCTCAAGCAAATGACCTCCGAATGCATTGTACTACAACTCCCATCATCCCTGCTAGTTAAGAATTGTGGGAGCTGCAGTCCAGCCTATTTGCAGATTAGCAGCTTCGAGAAGGCTCTGGTAGGTAACCAAACCTCTATGCAATGCAGGCCACCCAGAGCTAAGCATCTGCCGTAGCTAAAGACCCCCAACACATTCAGCAAAGCAGCTTTTTAAAAAATATATAATGCATTCAAATGCACCACACTACTGAGGAAAATCAAATAAAACATTGGGATGCACATGCTTGTGCCCCATGTACAGACCTTGTATTTACACACCACCTAGAGAATTCATTCTTCACCCCATCAGGAATGTTGACCTTCACTGTTAGGACTTTCAGATGCTCCCCTCGGTTAATGGCTAGAATCTAAAGAGCAAATATAAAATGGCAAAATGATGACACACGAAAGAGGAAGAAGACATACCAGTCAATATCTTCAAAATCATGTCAGTTCTGTTGCCCATAGGGTTCCACTCAAAATATAGGCAGTTCCATACATCCATACATAAATGAAATACTGTTGGTTGAAGTAAGGCTGGCCCTGCCATTAGGCAGAGTAAAACAACAGCTTTAAATGGCACTGGAAAACAGCAACAGCAGCTCTTCCCAGGTGTTTCTTCTGACCCCACTCCTCGCCACTTATTCCCCAGAGTTCCATGATAAAGCTCTGTAAGTTACCTGGCTAGCCCTGTTCTCCCAAATAATCAAACTACCAATATAGCTAGAACTTAGTATCTGCTGTCAGTTTAGAAGGAAGATTGGTTCACCTTGTACACATGGAGTGTGTGGCCAGAAAGATGTCACCTATTCTTCTGACTGAGACAGTTAAACATTTTGGGCAGACTTGGGCTGTCCAATATCTGCGCAACTTCACAGGAAAAGTGCAGAACGTGGCTGCAAATGCATATCTCAATATGCTCTAATTTCTTTTGATTAAAAATCAAGATTCTAGACCTCAAGGTGCAGATGCAGGCACAGCCTCCCAAAACCTGAAAACCTAGAAGTGGCTAAAAAAATTTGGTACAGTGGTGCCTCGCTTAGTGATTGCCTCGTTTAACGATGTATTCGCTTAGCGATGAGGTTTTTGGAGCGATCTTGTGCTCTGTTTAGCGATGTTTCCTATGGGGAAATTCTGCATAGGGATGTTCGGGACCTTGCTTCGCTTAGTGATGACAGTTTAGGTCCCCCTGTTTCGCTTAGTCACTATTTTAAGTGTGCCCCCCCCCATTGGAATGCATTTGACAGCTATCAAACCTACAGTTCAATTTATTCCAATGGGGGGAAAAATTCACCAAAAATTAACGAAGACTCAGAACAAAGCCAAATTAAGTTTGCAAAGGTTTTACAGGGTGCAGTATCGATTCCAAGCCTTTTAAACAATTTTTGAACATTTAAGACACTTTAAAAATAGCGAAAACAGACCTGTCAAAACCACTGAAATGCACTGAAACCTATTCAATGCATTCCAATGGGGGAACCGCGTTTCACTTAGCGATGTTTCCTATGGCGATTTTCGCTTAAGGACGGTAATCTGTTCCCATTGGAACGGATTATCCGGTTTTCAATGCATTCCTATGGGAAATGGTGTTTCGCTTAGTGATGTTTTCCCATAGCAATGTTTTTTGGGGAACCTATTAACATCGTTAAGTGAGGCACCACTGTACTCAAGAAGTCTCAAGTCTTACCTCTTCCATGACAACAATATCTGAATTATGGAAAAGAGCAAAAAAATGCAAAAAGTTTGCAAAGTGAGAGAAACTACAGTGGTACCTCACAAGACGATGACCCAATTAAACAACGAATCCACATAACGATGACTTTTTGCAATCGCTATAGTGATTCGCAAAAAAGTCATTCCAATGGGGGATTTTCGCTGGACGTTGATTAGGTCTGTGCTTCGCGAACCATTTTTTCGCAAGACGGTTTTTTTCTACTGACCATCAGCTCTGCAAAATGGCTGCTCTGTGTTTTCCAGACCCATGCTTCGCAGGGCAGCCATTTTTACAGCTGATCGGCACTTGCAAAATGGCTTCCCTATGGGCGATCTTCGCTGGACGACGAGGTATTTTCCCCATTGGAACGCATTAAACCGGGTTTCAATACATTCCAATGGAGAAAGGGTTTTCGCATGATGACGATTTCGCTAAACAGCGATTTCAATGGGACGGATTATCGTCGTCATGCAGGGCACACTGTTGTATATATAATATACACATCTCAGTATATAACATTGCCTGAATCAATCAACTGACCTCTCTGGCAGCAGGTCTGATACTCAGGGAGAAGACAAGCGCACAATGGATCAAACGCCACCCAGTAAAAAACAATTAGCATTTAATGCAGTGCTAACCTGTATTAAATGCGATGACAAACCTAGACAGTACAGTATCTTAAAAAGCAGAGACATCACCTTGCCAACAAAAGTCTGCATAGTCAAAGCTATGGTTTTTCCTGTCATGATGTACGGAAGTGAGAGCTGGACCATAAAGAAAGCTGACCACCAAAGAATTGATGCTTCTGAATTGTGGTGCTGGAGGAGACTCTTGAGAGTCCCCTGGACTGCAAGGAGAACAAACCTATCCATTCTGAAGGAAATCAACCGTGAGTGCTCACTGGAAGGACACATCCTGAAGCTGAGGATCCACTACTTTGGCCATCTATAATGAGAAAAGAAGACTCCCTGGAAAAGACCCTGATGTTGGGAAAGTGTGAGAGAAAGAGAAGGGGACGACAGAGGACAAGATGGTTGGACAGTGTCATTGAAGCTACCAACATGAATCTGACCCAACTCCGGGAGGCAGTGGAAGACAAGAGGGCCTGGCGTGCTCTGGCCCATGGGGTCATGAAGAGTCGGACACGACTTAATGACTAAACAACAACAACCTGTATCTTAGGACAAAGAAGGTAAAGCTGGCAGAGAAGCAGGAGAGATGAACGCCATCCTTCTATCATGGAGAGACTTTGTCGTGACTACTCAGCCATCTCTTCTTTCCTTTCCCGTCACTCCGCCTTGTGCCATTGCCAATCACTTGTGTTGTGTCATCCTCCTACCACTTCCCTTTTCTTCACCCCCAACCACACGTTTGACTCTCTCCTCCTACCATACCTCCTGGTCCACCTCCCGGTGCCGCCACCACTTTCACCTCTGTTCCCCCCTCGCCGTTCCACTATTGAAAGGCTGCCCTCCTCCTCTCGTGGGAACCTTCATCCCACGGGACTGGTTTATCAGTCTTGTTCGTCAAACCCAAGTTCCAGGCCACTCTCTCCTTCACTACACAAAAACAGCAGAACAAGTAAAGTATCATCGTTTTACATTAAACCAGTTCCAAATAGAGTAGACACCCAATGAATCATTGAATGGTGCATGACAACCTATGCATACCCCTTCTTTTATTCAAGTTCAGAATGAGATGTACAAAACCTTAGATAGCCAGGCCTCCAGCTCTTAAAAAGCCTTAGAGACGGTCATGAAGCTAGTCCTGCCATAACGAGAAAATATGGGAGACAAAGAAAGGTGAGGCACAGGGAGTTATGTGCCATCCAGTTGCCTCCAAACCTATGAATGGGCAACCTCCAAAGTGCCCTGTCGTCAACAGCCCTGCTCGCATCTTCTAGCCTGTGGCTTCCTTTTAGGGAGTCAGTCTCTCCAAAGGGCCCTGTCGTCAACAGCCCTGCTCGCACCTTCTAGCCTTTTAGGGAGTCAGTCCATCTGATATTGGGTCTTCCTCCTTTCCTCCTGCTGCCTTTCGGTATTTGGTCTTCCTCCTTTCCTCCTGCTGCCTTTCACCATTCCCAGTCCTACAACCTGTCTTTCTAATAGCAGCACAGAGAGCTCGTCTCCTTCAACTCTCCAATGATAACAATCCTTTGAAGAAGGTCAAGCTCAGAAAAAAAAAATAGTCCAGTGCTTTCTAATGAGAATTTCATGGCAAAGCACAAATTTGAACTCAGTTCCCCCAAATCCTAGTCTGCCTAAGAGAGAAGTACTGGTCCGCGGTCCTGACCGAGCCTTTCCAGATCTCATCAAGTATTCTAACCACTGCACCACACTGAGCACCATACGTTTCCCATCTGATTTATTTGATGGGAGAGAACAATTTCTGTGAAATGATAAATATGCATTTTAGCTGCCAGTACAGATGAAAAAGATGATTGCTACGTACCCCGCTGCCCAGATGCCCCCAAATGTGAACAAAACCGTGCATTTCTAATACATTAGACTTGCAGAAACCATTAAAAAGCTGTTAAAAGTTGACATCCCTGTGTCGTCGCGCATGTTGATGTCTGCTATGGGCCCTCAGCCCTGTCACAAGTAAGCTTTCCATGTCAATCATGAACTTTAATTCAATCACTAGCTAACTCAGACATGTCACATATGTTAAACACAATGGTCTAAAAATGACCCCGGGACATTGCACCAATTCAAAACCCTCAGCTTTTCATGTGCTTGCTGACATACCAGGCCTGACATATCATTGAACAAGACAAGGAGTAATAAAAATTACATGTGAAATATTATAGCATCAGGTACCTTGACTGCCAAAGCAAATGGCAGGAATTAGGAGGATGCACATTAGCGAACAAAGCAAAACACACTCGTGTTGAGTCCACACTGACAGCAGAGACAAAAGCGAAAACGTTCCTCTCAAGGGAAACTAAAATTACATTTTTTTTAGCCAGACAACTTTGTCAGATACACTAGTCATGCCGTCTCAGGGATTCTAGTTAGTTAAAAAAAGTTTTCTAAACTCTAGACCAAGTGTGGAAAATAATACCAGACAACTTCGTCAGATACACTAGTCATGCCATCTCAGGGATTCTAGTTAGTTAAAAAAAAGTTTTCTAAACTCTGGACAAAGGCGTACAGACCAAGTGTGAAAAATAATTGGTAAAGAGAGATTATACAGAGAAAAGCTATAGTGCAGATGATGCCAGAGAAAGCTGACTTGAAAAAAAGAAACACATCTCTCTCTCTCTCTCTCTCTCTGTGTGTGTGTGTGTGTGTGTGTGTGTGGAAAAGAAAAAGAGAGATTATACAGAGAAGAGCTATAGCGCAGATGATGCCAGAGAAAGCTGACTTGAAAAAAGAAACACCCCCCCTCTGTGTGTGTGTGTGTGTGTAGTGTGTGCAGGAACACACACACACATGCAAGTTTCAAATCACAGCCCTCGTTCAAATAAGCACGCAGCACAAGAAATCCATTTGAAAAGTCTCTGGAGAATTTCAGGAAGAAGGTGAAAGTCAAGGTTAGCAACTAAATCCTGAAACAGCTTTTTCATTTCTTATTTAACAGAAGAACGAGCAAAAAAGCATAACCTGCTGTCCACATTTCAGTTACTCTGTCCCAAGGACAGCATGACATTTCCCAACCTCTGACAGTGCTGTCCTCCGAAGATGCCGGCCACAGAGACTGGCAAAATGTTAGGATGAACAACCTTCAGAACACGGCCAAAGAGCCCGAAAAACCCAGAACAACCACTCTGACATTGTGTTTAAAAAAATCAGCAACTCTCCAAAGTTCCATACAACTGTATTCCATCTCTGTTCTTCTTGTACATATTTCCCACTCCCTTCCCTTTGTACCAACAACTGCAGGGTGGCGTGGCTTCACCAGAATTTAAAGCAAAGAAATGTGCTGCTTATACAGTCTTCCACCCCATAGCACCTGAAGCACTCTCTGGGTGGTTTACAATTTAATTATGCAGGCTACACATTGACCCCACAACAAGCTGTATACTGTATTCAGTTTACCAGCCTCAAAAGAATGGAAGGCTGAGTCAACCCTGAACCACCTCCCTGAGCCCAATGGAATCACGAGTAGTGTGTGTGTGTGTGTTTAGTCGTTTAGTCGTGTCCGACTCTTCGTGACCCCATGGACCAGAGCACGCCAGGCCCTCCTGTCTTCTACTGCCTCCCGGAGTTGTGTCAGGTTCATGTTGGTTGCTTTGCAGACACTGTCCAGCCATCTCATCCTCGGTCGTCCCCTTCTCCTCTTGCCGTCACACCTTCCTAACATCAGGGTTTTTTCCAAGGACTCTTTTCTTCTCATGAGATGGCCAAAGTACTCACGAGTAGAGTCTTCACTATACCATTGCAGTTTAACCACTATGCCACAAGGATCCAGTTTAAAGCTGGTTTCCAATCTCCGACTGAAGGTTAACTGAGGTTAGCATTAAACATGGTGCAAATGTAATACTGCCCCATGGTTAAAAATGAAAACAGAAGAAGCGGTTCATGTGCGACGGAAGGGGCAGAAAAACTCCTACGACATTTCCAGAGAGATGGGGATTCTGAGAGTTGGAGTCCAAGAAAGTAACAGTTTAAAGCACGGGGGGGGGGAGGTTTCTATTAAACAGGCTTGGTCACAAGTTTGAGGGGGACCTGTAGGGTCTTCTAGTAGGCCCTTTTCAGACTAAAGAACCTCCCCCAGCAGGTTTCTCCAATAGCACTGCTCCTCTGTTCAACACAAGACAGACACATTTTAATTTCCCGCAAAATCCACAGAAACACTCCACTGGAAGTTATAAAGGAATTTTATAGACAACTATAAAGGAATTTTAAAGAGGGAGTTAAGAGGCTGTTGCATGGCAATGCTTGAGAAACTCTTAACCACATTTCAAAAGTCAAAAAGAAACACTCTATCAAGTTTTAAGCCCTATGGTGTTTAGCCCTAGAACTGTCCTTGTAATCTGGTTGCAACACATTTGGAATAAAACATTTCCAAACTGCTGGAAAACGTGTACTGAGGAACAGCCATGTGATCAACGTGCAGAATCATCAAGTATCAAGTCCAAGTTTCTTCAGACTGGATGATACAAAATGTAGGGGACAAAGAGTCTAAAAAACTCAGTGTCTCTGACACTGACTTCCAAGGTGAAGATTTCAGAATTTCAACAGAAGAAAAAGGTTCGCTTGCAGAAAAGGGAACCAAATACAGCTAAGATAGACTAGAGAGAAAGAGAGAGAGAGATGCCCATAGCTTTTAAGTATGACAACTTTTAACTATAATGACTTTTCATTATTATAACTTAACTCTTAACTATAATAGTTTGAAGAGGTCTGAAAAATATAGCAGTGTTAGAATCCTGCTGGTTTACATGATGTTGTAAGGCAGTCAACATTGATGTTGACCTCTTTTCCAGCTGCCTGTCTTCTGGCTGTGGAATCAATTGTGCAATTGATCACAATTTTTTCCGCATAAAATGCAGAAAAGCAAATCCAAAACCACTTCAGCAAATGACCTTATCTGTGTGGGAAAGCTCAGTTGGACTTTTTCCAAATTTTTTTTCAGTGTTTAGAAGTTAGTAGTTACTAGGAACTAAGGGCACATACTAGTTATTAATAACTAGTTATTTGTTTTCAGTTACATTTGCCAATAATTAAGGAATAATTATGTTAGAGCAGGAAAATGTGAAGACAGATAATGTCATTTCTTCTGCAGTATAACTATAACTTTTAGCCTTTTGTTTCTGCTCCTTGGAAAATACTTTGATGTTGGGAAAGTGTGAAGGCAAGAGGAGAAGGGGACGACCGAGGATGAGATGGTTGGACAGTGTCATCGAAGCAACCAACATGAATTTGACACAACTCCGGGAGGCGGTGGAAGACAGGAGGGCCTGGCGTGCTCTGGTCCATGGGGTCACGAAGAGTCAGACACGACTAAACGACTGAACAAACAAACAAACAAATAACTATAACTTTAATGGAGTCTCACTAAACAGCAGAGAAGTATCACACTGCAAGCCTTGTGATTTTTTTTAAAAAATGTGCAACCATTGATTCATCCTCAGTTGTGGTTCTTGTCACAACAACAACAGAGGGGAAAAGAGCATGCTTTCTACCATAGGCCAACAACGTGTAGCATCAATAGCTCTCTAAAGCAACTGCACCGTAACTAGTTACCTTTGGGTGAGAGAGAAATATAGGAAACAGTTCTTTTTGAATATAACATGATTACATTAACAAACTGCTTACGGACACTTTTAACTGCAGTATTACAAACAATCAGCTATGCTTAGAAGTAACTTTCCAAGTTCTGCCTTTTTCCCCTCCACCTTTGCACTAAGAGCATTTAGCACAACTATAAAGTTCATGATTTTCCTATACAACTATAAACCTGCCATCCTTTCAGGCCACCTTTAACCACAATTATCTAACCTTTTCTTGCTTTTGCAGACCAATTTTAAGTGACAGGTTTAATGCTGAGTAGCTCAGAGCATCCTTCGATCACAGGGATGCTCTCCAAGCCATTTGGCACAGCAGCAATTGACACAGGAAACATGACATCAGACAAGAGGACTGAGGTTAGATTTAGAAAACGGTACAGCACAGAATGGAACAAGCCGGGGTTTAGGGCACAACTCAGAGCAGCGATGGCAGGTGCAGAAAAGGGAGCAGGTCAAGGAGGGGAGAAACCAAATGGCGCATTCTGAATGATGGCGGGTCCCAAGAGGAAACGATTCAATGTTCCCATCCTTCCAAAATCACTGTCCTGGAATAACAAGAAATGTTGTCTTGTCTCTCTGGAGAAAGAGCTTGCTCTTCCCAAAGATCTTCTGCCAAGCTTTCTCGTGGATCAACAAGCAAGAAGCACAGCTGAGTCTATCTTCCCCTCCATCACCATCCTCTCTCCTTCCCCCACCTCTGCCCCCACCCAAAGAAAGCCAAGGGGCTCCAGCATCATTTCCCCCTTCCAGGCCACCAAGGAGCATCAGAGAGTGGCCTGAATCATTTGTTGGCCGCATCTCTATTCTGTCTTCCCCCCCAATGAGCCCAAAGCAGCGCATGTGGCTCTTCTCCCATGCCTCTTTATCCTGACAACAGCCCTGTGAGGTAGTCAGGCTGAGCAAGTGTGAATGGCCCCATTCCCTTCAAAGCCGAGGCAGCTCCTCCCACCAGCAACTCACCCTGAAGAATTCAAATGCCTCACCAGGAACATGTCAGTTTACACACTGAGCCTGAGAAGGAGTAGGCGTGGGGATAAAAAAAGCGCAGAATGTTGGATCTGGACTGGGAAGGTCTGAGTTCAAATACCGACTCAACAATGAAGCTCAAAAGGTAAACCTGTGGCTATTCCTTAAACCAGCCCACCCTGCTAGACTGTTATGCAACCAGAAGTAGGACTGATGATATGCCTACCACCTGTAATTTCTTGAGGGAATAAAAATATGTATTGGTGGAGGCAAGGGTCAGGAAGAAAAGGAGGGAATGCCTAGAGGTGAGGAAAGGTTTCTATACTGTAGGACCCTTTTATCCACAAGATCTGTATTCAGTGATTCACTTATCCATGGTTTGAAAATCTTAAAAATATTTTAAAAAAAGAAACGGGGGGGGGGGTACGGGACTATTTTCACATGTATTACCAGAACTAGCCACTAGAGGGAACCAGAGACTGTGCTATGAATATTTTTTTAGTGAAAAGTACATATCTCTAGTAGCCAGTCCTGGTAATTCATGTGAAAATAGGGCATTTTTTTCTGTTTTTCTTTTACCATGGGATTTTAGTTTGCTTTTTCCAAGAAAACAAGTTTACTGCAGAACAGGTTAAGGAGGAGTCCTTCAGATCTTGCTGGACTGCAATTCCCACCAGCCCTTGCAAGCAGAGCCAATAATAAGGGGTGGTGTGAATTTCAGTCCAATATCCAGAAGGTCACAAGGTAGTCCACCACTGCCACAACAACAACAACAACACTATCAAGTTGATTCCAACTTATGATGACCCTTTCCAGGGATTTCTAGACAGACAGTATTCAGAAGTGGTTTACCATTCCCTTTTTCTGGGGCACCTGGGACTATGCAGCTTGCCGAAGGCCGCACAGGCTCCCTTTTCTCCTGGCAGGCAAGAGGGGAGAATCAAACTCCCAACTTCTGGCTCAGGTCTTAAGATACCTAACTCACTGAGCTATTAAAATATGTATCAGGAAATACCTGCCTATGTGAAATTTACAAATTGCCAATCTTTTTATTTTATTTTCAAAAATACATATATCGTGTTCAGAACCCACAATTAAATGCGTACCTGGTGGTGTTGAATGTTCTTTATATTGCAAGAAAAATTCTGATACAGATGAAATTTGCTCACATCTTTTTCGTTTACATTTTTGGAGGTCACTTTTGCCAAAGATGATTGAATGCAAATGTACTTCCTTTGACATCTACATTTGAAAAATGTTATAAAAGAGAACAGAGTTTTCACAAACATCTGAATAACAGTATTAATGCTTAATGGAGAACTGCTTCTCAGAATTTCATGTTACACTGTAAAGAAAAACTACACCATTTTCAGACTTAAGGAAGCACTCAAATAAGACGGCAGATGCTGAATGTCCTATACTAGAACATGTCACTTTGTTGTGTACATGTCTTATTTCAAAGGTGGGCAAAGTGTGCAACCTTGGTCTTGATGAAGAATCTGGCTGCCACCTAGTCTGAACGGGCCCTCAGGGTCCTTATCACCTAGAGCATCGCCAGTCACTAAGGATGGGAATGTGATGTAGTGGTGAGATCATTAGAAAAAGACTCAGCAGATTCAGGTTCTAACCTGTGACAATTCAACACTGCATATATTTCCTATATAGAGAAATGTATCAACATGCATGGTGAGTGATTGGGCGGGTGGTAAGTTGGATGTGTGTCATGAATGTCTGTTAAAACAATTTGGGAAGCGGATAGCATGTGTGCTGAACGATTAGTGCAGAAAGAGGTGCAAGGCTGTCAAGGTGAAAAGACAGAGAGCTATGGTTAAGACCTATGCAGCGTGTGTGTGATTAGTTTTTGTGAAGAAGCTGTGGAAATATAGAGTTGTTTCCATTGGAAAGCGTGTAAGAGACAAGCATCCTGTATACATAAATAAAGAATTAAATGGGTTAAAATGCTATAGAGATAAAGAAGAAAAGAGCAAGGCCTTTTGGCTGTTTGATGCAGGATTTGACCTATTGGAATTCTGAACTGTGTCTGTACATATGTGTGTGTTTACAAATCCTGTTTATTATCTTTGAAAACAGCAGCCACAAAATATTATACCGCTAGCCTAACTTCTCAGTGCAGGGATACACAATCAAAAGTTGTTTCGCCAGCGTAAATTCAGCCCTTCGCTGTGGCAGTCTTTAAGCAACAGGGGAGAGGGCGCATGGGCTGTTTGCTGGGTATTGTAAAGGGGATAACCCTGCAGAAGAGGTTGCCATTACAAGTTAAACAGCAACTTCAAACTTAGTGAAAGGTTTGGGAGGTTGTTCTTTCATGGCAGCATATAATGGGAAATGGAAGGATAGGCAAGTCTTCTTCACTGCCACATGGTTCCCATTGAACCACAAAACTCACTGGGTGACCATGAGTCAAACACCCACTTTCAGTTTGATCAAAGACTAGAGAAGCAAGATGAAATGAGGAGGAGGTGAGTCTTATATACAACCTTAAAGTACAGTGGGGTCTCGACTTACAAACTTAATCCGTATTGGAAGGCAGTTTGTAAGTCGAAAAGTTTGTAGGTCGAATCTGCATTTCCCATTGGAATGCATTGAAAACCATTTAATCTGTATCTGCTCTTTTCTATCCATAGAAACTAATGGGAAGCTGCTATTCCACCTTCTGCCACTAGAGGGGAATATTTTTTCTTTTTTTCTTAGGTCAAGAAAAGTTCAGGAAAGGAGTGGGGAGGCAGGGAACAGCTTTAAAAGCACTTTTGAAATCTTTTTTTTTTTCAACGAAGCCAATTTTAAAGCATGTTTTAAAGCATGTTGTGCTGATTGACCCAGGCTTTGCAAGCCAGAATGCCTCTCCCGCTTTTTTTCCCCCCTTTTCGGTTCATGCATGTTTTCAGTTGGTCTTTTTAAGATACCCAACGAAGGGGCCGCATGAATCATCGGAGGGAAATTGTTCCAGAGACGAGGAGCCACTGCCGAGAAGGCCCGGTTTCTAGTTCTTTCCTTCCGGGCCTCTCTTGGTGTCAGGTTCCTCAGCCTCACCTTCTGATTCATGCAGGTGATAAGGGTAGACCTTGGTTAACTGAAAGTTCAAATTTAACGCTTTCCCTACCTCCTGCATGGTTTTTTTCGGTTCGTAACTCGAATCTAAGTTTGCAAGTCGAGTCGATATTTTTCTATCAGAGCGGTTTGTAAGTCGAAATGTTTGTAACTAGAGCCGTTTGTAAGTCGAGGGTTCACTGTATGTGATACCAGATCCAACCATTAGTCTATCCTGTTCTATAGTGTTCTTTCTGACTTCTCCTTCCTCTTCAAGATCACACGGCAGAGGTCATTCCCGTCAACCACTGGCTGATACATTTAACTGGAGATGCCAGCAGTTACATCTGGGACCTTCTGCATGCAAAGCTCTATCAGTAAGCTAGACTCCTTCCTCATTAATTCACATCATGACTGAGCAAACATACCTACACGTCCTTTCCTGAGAAAGAATCACTTATTGCTGCTATGCAATTGAGTATGGATAATATTTTTCAGGAAGTTAAAATAACCAAAGCAAAGAATTATCTTCCCCTTGCACCAGAACCTGGTAACTCCTTTCAGGGGTAACTGACCTCCAGAGGGTCAAGGGCCAAACATGCCTACCACCACTGGAACTAGGAAGGCTTTGCCCACTCCCATGCTATGCTCATCACCAAAATATTTTGGTTTTTTCTTTTTTAAAAACCATACATTTTTGTACATAAAATGAGTTATTTTGCCCTCTAGAGGCTGAAAATAATATTTTAATTTACAGCAAAAGGTTTGGGAGGTCCAGAGGCACTAAATTGCCTCCTATAGAGGGCACAAGGGAATTTTAAAAGTACTTTTAATAGGGGAGGCCAGAGAGGGTTTGGGGAGGCTATCTAGATTATGTGGGTTGCACATTTGGCCCAATCCCGGTCTGCACAAAGAGAGAAAGGTAAATCCACAAAGGCCACAAAGCAGGAATGCAGTGAGCTGAGATAGAAACAGTAACAGAAATACTTACAAATCTCTAATGAAATCCAGTGTGTCTTTATCTTTGGCTATCATGTCAGCTAAAATATGCTGCACTCCAGATTTTACCTCCTCAATGGTGGAAAGTCCTGAAAAAAGAATTTGACCCCTCTACATTATTGGCTGAATTATTTGTTTTTAAAAAAACATGGTAAACATGGTATACAATTTCTGAAAATATTGATCATATTAGATTTCAGAAGCTAATCGAGACCAGAATTCCCCAGGTAACCCCAGGATATGATCCTCCCTGGAGACTGTCAGATGATGACAATATTGGTTACAATTCAGATCTGATAAAAATGGGCTAGATGGAGCAATGGTATCACTCAGCACAAGGTGGCATTCCACGCTCCTACTGTTAGTGGACAACACATGTTCATACTAACCTGCAATCCAGATGCTTGATGATGCATTACCATATAGCAAAGAAGGAACCAATTTGTAGCGCAGGACTGATGGCTCGGGGATTAAGCCAGCTTTTCCATTTACAACTCTGTGGGTGTGTCCTTGTGTTTAGGAAACATCTATGCCTCCATTTGCTTTGCCATCACTGCTTAAATAATAGTAACTGCATATTGTCAGGTCAATTTTGATTTATGGTGACCTTTTCCAGGGTTTTCCAGGTAGAAAATACACAGAAGTAGTTTACTATTTCCTTCTTCTGGGGGAACATTGGGACTGTACAACGTGTCCATATCTACACAGGATGGGTCTTCTCTCAGATAGCATTGTGGAAAATTAAATTCTCAACCTCTGGTTCCGCAGCCAGGTACCTAAATCAATAAGCTATCCAGGCAGCTCAGTCATTAATTAGGATACTTTAAATTGGCATAACTCCTTAAACAGGACACTTTAAACTAGCATAACTCCTCATCGGCCATACATAATTTTATCTAATAGGTACAAACTGAGAATTTTATTCCAAATACAGTACTGCTCAATATTAAAAAATGTAAACAAATTTTAACAATGGATCAGAAAATTGGTATTCCATATTCAGTAACTTCTATTTAAGAATAACATAAAAAACCCACACATTTTATTTCATTGTCTAAGATTGCCCCCTACAGATTTATCTACAATTACACTACAAGCTGCATGCTAGATACATATAAATGTTGTGATCTACCAACATAAGCAAAAAAAGAGAGGAGAGTAATGGTAGGCTTAATGCATCAAGAGCCATAAGGTACAGTCCAAGTTGTAGATTATATCACGTTAATAGAAGATCCAGGTTCAGTTCTCCTAATAGCCATGAAACTCCATGAGTGAGCTTGGACTTGTTACTTTCCTGCAGCCCCTTAAAGCAGGGCCTGGGACAAAAGAATGTTTCTTGGTGGTAAATTAAAATTTGGAGGGGGGTTCCTTCAAATATGACCTTTGGGACCATACTTTGCACAGCTCAGCTGCAAATTAACACAAGCCTTTTCAATCCCAACTCTGCAAAGTTGTAACAACATAGAAAGCTGCCCTCTATCATGGCAGTCCATTTTTCTATATAGCTCTGTATGATCTACAGAGGCTACACTGGCACCCCCTGAATTCCCCAGATGTGGAGACCACCACTCAAAACTTAGCATAGCAGGAGCAGCAAGGACCCAGAAGGCCTCTGTTTAGTCGTTAAGTTGTGTCCAACTCTTCGTGACCCCATGGACCAGAGCACACCAGGCCCTCCTGTCTTCCACTGCCTCCTGGAGTTGGGTCAAATTCATGTTGATAGCTTCGATGACACTGCCCAACCTTCGCGTCCTCTGTCATCCCGTTCTTCTCTTGCCTTCACACTTTCCCAACATCAGGGTCTTTTCCAGGGAGTCCTCTCTTCTCATGAGATGGCCAAAGTATTGGAGCCTCAGTTTCAGGATCTGTCCTTCCAGTGAGCGCTCAGGCCTTGATTTCCTTCAGAACGGATAGGTTTGATCTCCTTTCAGTCCAGAGGACTCTCAAGAGTCTCCTCCAGCACCACAGTTCAAAACCATCAATTCTTCGGTCACTTCCATACATCGCTACTGGAAAAACCATAACTTTGACTATGTGAGCCTTTGTTGGCAAGGTAATGTCTCTGCTTTTTTAGATGCTCTCTAGGTTTGTCATCGCTTTCCTCCCAAGAAGCAGGCGTCTTTTAATTTCGTGGCTGCTATCACCATCTGCAGTGATCATGGAGACCAGGAAAGTAAAATCTGTCACTACCTCCATATCTTCCCCTTCTATTTGCCAGGAGGTGATGGGACCAGTGACCATGATCTTAGTTTTTTTGATGTTGCGCTTCAGACCATTTTTGTGATCTCCTCTTTCACGCTCATTACAGTGGACCCTTGACTTACAGACTTTTTGAGTTACAGACTTCTCTGGACGCAAAATTTAGGTTTGACTT